TGACATTCAGGGCCGTAACTAGGATCAAAATTTTAGTGTGGTCCATTTTGCAGGCATGTGACCTACATCTCATAGTGAATAAAATAACTGCCATCCAGTTGCCTTGTTTAAGTTTATTTAATCATTTAACTCTTTATTTATGTTTATTTTTAGCTTAAAATTAAATTAAAATTAAACCTACACTAAATCACAGTTTCAAACTGATAGTTTCACATTGATTTTATTTCATTTATCTCTCTCTGTGTCTATCTTTGCTTGTTTCCTTTCCTTGCATCTCTGTCTTCGGGAAAAAGCACACATTAAACATACGTTATAAAAGGCAAAAGGCAGCTACTCATACAGTTAATTAGACAAAATTCAGTTAATGAGACAAAATAACGCACCTGCTGAGTCCCTAATAAACTTACATGATGCTATTCTATCAACATGCTAGTTAACAGTGAACCTTCTCATGCTGCTTGTGGTATGTTATGAGTAGGTTACTTTACTTTCTGATCTAATCACTAATACAGCCAACTACGAAGCCTGTAGCCTAAACTGAGCAGTTACTGAAGCTGGACTAAAGCATGCTGATTTAGCCAGCAACATTACGAGCAGTCCAAACAAAAAAATAAAATACAGGGTTTGCATTTTACAGTCTTACTGTGTTAATTGCGCTCATAAACTCTTAGCTAGCTACATTTTTACCATAGCGATGTTATGTGTTAGCCTATAGCGTGTGTGCTGCAAGTCAACGTTAACGTTACTCTGGATCTCTGGGCTGTGTAGCATCTCGTAGAGAGATAAAGAGAGCGGACAGTTAAGTCTGTGGCCGAGCCACAGCTGTTCTGAGGTCAACTAAGAATCAGTCACATCTTATTGGCGAGTTTCGTCGGCATTTTCCACACTGAATCTCATAAACCCCTTCCGAAAGTTAGGAGGACCCCGGAGTCCCATTGCTAGTCACGAACGTACTGCTAACGTACAGAAGTAATTGCGGATAGCAGCGGTTGCTAAGCGGTGGTTGGATGGTTGAGGAAAATAAGGCGGAGTCTGGCAGATTTTGATTGGCCATAATACAGTAACAGCGCTCACAGACAACAAATCAGAATGCACTGTCATAAAACTGACGCATTATAAATATTCTGTCTCTCTTGGGTGGGTCTGTGACACCGTGGCTGCAGCCCTGAGTCAGTAGTGTCCAGTTGTAGATCCGCAGTACCGCACTTTCAGCCCCTCACTTTCAGACCCGCAATATCAGCTCCTTACAAGTACGTCTCTAGTGGTTCATTCCAGAATCGCAGTTACACTTTCCTGCCCTTACGAGAGAATTTTAACGGGGCATTTTTGTTGTGTATCGTGCGCGTTCAAGTGTTTTTTGTAAGAAACAAAGAGAATACTGAGGTTGTGAAAGGGGGGTTAATTAGCTTACTGGTATATATAAGTTGGTGTATTTTACTGGTGTTTGGACCCATAGACTCTTAAAAGGTTCCTCAGTGTTTCTTTAGTAAAGAAAATAGTTCTGTTCAGAACTATGAGTTCTACATATAACCATTTCATGCTTAAATAAATACTGTATTCGATAGACGTCGCAACGCTGTAGGCTTTCATAGCTCTGCGCCCGCGACACAACAGAATAGAACATCATTTGTAGTTTCTTTGAAAACTTGTATGACAACGCAGCTAATTAAACAACAGTAAAACCGCAAACAACAGTCTGAAAACAGCTGCTACAGTCAAACTGCATTAACAGTAGGAATTTAAGCCCAGGGTCGCCACGGCAATCAGAAATACTAACGTTAGCTACTTGTTTTCCACACGCGTTGCGTTTCACTCTCGAGCTCTTTCTCTGTCACACAGGGTTGCCAGATTCGCGGTTTTCCAAAAATGCCAGTTAGTCTGAAAGTACAGTGCGAAAATTACACTGTGGAGGGGTGTGTTTTCTACTTGAACTGCTTTTTAAAGTAATCGCGGCTTGAAAAAACAAATCATCGTAAAAATGTGTTTTGATCCCAGTTCTGAATAGCTGGCAACCCATACATTCTGTCTCTTTTACGTCATTTATTGTCGAGCGACGCGTGTCGCCTGGACTATATGGGCTTTTACGTGACATCATATCCGGAGCTGAGACTGCGGGTCTACAGCTAGACCCTTCTCCCCTGGGTAGACGGTGCTGTTTCTACATTTAATCTCATGAACGGAGAAAAGTGGAAAAAAAAGAATCCTTCTGAAACTACCGAGGTCCGGACCTCAGTGTCCTCATAGCTGGTTACGGCCATGCTGACATTGCTAACACTAGAAGTCAAGAGTCACTTCGTAAATACCTGAAACCTGTTCAAACCACATCTGAGTCTTCATTAACCACACGGTATGACTTATTGTGAACTGTAAATATATAAACTATGAACTTCACCATGTAGCTGAATGCTTGGGGCAGCCATCATAGACAAGAGGTGTTGTGCTGTCCGGCACTCATGTCATGCAAGCACATGGACACTACAGAGTATGCTAGCAATTTCTGTTGGTTTTTAATAAAAATGTTAATCTTCATGCTTAAAAAACAGTAAGCGATGCCATAGAACAACCACCTTTTTTGTTCCCCAAAGAACCTTGTTTGATAGAGATTTGTGAGTTCTTTACATAATATCAAAGTCCTTTCCAATTTAAGGGTTCTTGCTAGAACCTTTGCCGTATGTGGAGGTTCTTTAAACTTTAAAAAGGCTGTTCTAGTTCACACATTACATTCATAAAAATGGCTCTCCAAAAAAACATCCCTGAAAGATTCTTTTGGGAACCAAAAGTGGTTCTTCTGTGGCATCATAAAAAGAAACATTTCTGGCACCCTTATTTAAAAAAGTGTTGAATTTTGTAAGCCTCGTAGCTCCAAGGCCAGTCATACTGTGTTCTAAACCACAAACGAAGTCTGCGCAATCTTAATGAAGACTTGAATGTGGTTTGAGCGGGTTGGAAGACATTTTGAAAGTGTATTTATGGAAAAGATTTGGGTGACTGTTGACAGCATTAGTCCAACAGCTCTGCTTTAAAACTTAAAAAGCAAAATTTGGACGCCAAATACATCTTGGCTGATCGACTACATCTGGCATAAGTGGAACATTGTCTTAAGCTAGAATTTTTCCTGAACCATTTCTTTGATTATATCCCTGTGTAATGATACAGTGGGCACAGAAGTCTTACGATTTGGCCAGGGTTAGCTAATGGAGATAGGCAGATAGGAATAAGTTAGCTATTGCAAGATCAGTTCAGAATTCTGACAAGATGTTCTGAGGCCAAGGAATATGGGTTTGATAGAGCATGACACTGTGGCAGTGTAAAAGGACTGATTTGAGCATGACACTGTGGCAGTGTAAAACACACTGATTCTGTTTTTTGTGGGTATAGGACTCACTGGATGCTGTAAGATGTTCACAAACCCAGGGTAAATAAAGAGTTGCAGTGATTTGAATTCAGCTTAATAAAATCATTTATTGTGCTCCAGAAGAGTAAATCCTATTTAACCAGAAATAAAGACAAAATGACAAATAATCTACATTACAACTCCCCTCTGATATGGTTCCTATGAACAGGCATTTTTGATCATCCCTTTGAAGCTTAGACAGAAGAAAAAACAAGAATAAAATAAAAATAAAAAAAAGAAATCAGATTTATGTGGTTTGGTTACTGTTTATAAATGGCACTCAGTATTGTATTACATTCAGTCATGAGGCTGCGTCCTGTTGCTTATGTGTGTGTGTGTGTGTGTGTGTGTGTGTGTGGGACTTCAGGAGTTCAGGAGACGCTTCAGGAGTCCTCTGCGGTTACAGATGTAGCCCAGCTCTCACCTTGGCCCTACATGCAAATGCACGAGAAGAATCCTCAAAGCGGCCCCTTGTATGAACGGCTCATTAAATTTTAACACTGTTGAAAAGGAGCCTCATTTGGAATGGGGGCTCAGGGCAGGGCTGCTTTGCATATTCATACCTGTATTGATTGAGTGAGGGGGGATGTGCTGAGGGGTTTTAGTTAATGGTATGGCATTTGTGGGAAAGAGGGCTTATTCTGCGCTGTATTTACCGTCCTGTTACGCAGGGCCAGCGCGCAGCCGAGCAGCCCCAGGGAGGCCGTGTTCTAGGCGGGAACATCTTGTTTGGGACTCGCCGCATGTCACAGGTCGCCGGGGCGGTGAGAGAGCTGCATAATTCTCTCCTTTTTCTTTGTCCTTTTCTCTGTACCTCTCCCACTTGCCTTGATGGCGCTGCACTGTGTCACTGCAACTTTCTCAAACAGATCCTGTCTGTCTGAACTTCTCAACTTACAAACTGTTTATTTAAAGGTATACCCCAGTGTTTTTCAACCTAAACCACATCTGCTGCCTCTGTAGCATTGAGTTGATTACAATGGACCATATTTTTGATGCACAAAATCATAAAACCTGTTGACTAAAATACATGTATAATAGAAGCAAATGGGCAGATGCCTAAAGTGTTGTTCAATTCAATGGGTTTCTGTTTTTTTTTACTGATATAAAGGAAAACATACCACTTGTCAGTTACATATCATAATCAACCATACGCTACAGATTCAGCAGATTAGCTGAAATATTCCTTTCATTACTCCTCATTGGAGCTGTCTTAGTCATACGTCTGAAGTTTCAAATGAGTTGTGTATGACCATGAGTGATGCCTTTGCCCAGCCATGTAGCATGGTGTGATGGTCAATACAAAGCACAAGGACTAGCAAGGAAAAGACAGACAGCACTTTTGTCTGTAGCCATACAAAGTCTGTTCAACTTGCTGGGGGAAGTAAAGCCTAAATTAACTAATTTTTCTAACGCACTTTGAAACTCAAGCTGTTGATAAACCCAAATCTTGTCTGTGTTTGACAGGTTACTTCTCTGCAGAGTGATAACATGTTTGCATTCAGTGAGGAGGCTAAAAAGGGGCAAAATGAATACAGATAGAAACAGAAATGGCAAAATGGCTAGTTTTGTGCAGCAATGACTATAGCAGGGACAAAAAAATAGACTTGCAAGAGGGCCGTGACTAGTACAGTGGATGCAAATGGGGGCTAGAGTAGCTTGCTTTGACATGGTAAGGGCTTCCCTCTTCCTTAGACTGCCACCTCTGCACCTGCTGCAATCTGATGCAGAGGCGTAGGATGAGAGGGCCTCCTAATCCACACTGTCAGCAGATAGCCTCCCCGCGACAGGCAGAAATTTATAAGCATTCGTCTTTAAGCAGGGCTACAGCATGGACTTAATAAAGGGCACAAGCAAAATCAATGCAACCAATCATGTTCCACAGAGCTAAAGTTATGCAGAACGATTCCCAGCAATATGTCTTCATTTCTTCCTAGCCCCGGGGCACCAGTTATGCAGGGGGGATTTCCTGATGAGTTAGACAAAGAAATGAATGAGAATTAAACCACGCAGGTTGTTTTCTAAGGTAAAAGTGGTCTTTGCCTATAAGCCAGAGATGAGAAGAAAAAACCCCAAAACAAAACAAATAAACATAAAAAACAATGTATAACAGCTGAGACCAAAATGAGCAAATTAAAAAGAGTACAATGAATGTCCCACACATGGGATCTCAAACAGCAAGTGATTCACCACTATTAAAAAGTTTTACCAACACACATTGTACAAAACTAGTCCTTATAACCAGGTTCACTCAAGCTATTTGTGAATGCACTCTATTTAGCATATACCCGCCCCTTTCCCTTCCCCGCATCCAATCAGGACCCATCGCCTTCGCTTGTGTCACTGTATTCCGATTTCAGTAGGTTTCTGGGCCAATCAGAGCAGTTTTCCTCAAACAAATCCAATGGGGATGAAAATTATTATTCTTTTTTTTTAATAATGACTTAATCAGCAGAACAGCCACCAAGCAGATAAATTGTCATGCGCTTCGTGCTAAAAATATCCAGCTTCCCTTTTTTATTTGTCCGCCAGTTCTCCGAATAGACAGCACTTGTGTGATGAAGCTGTATCTGCCAGAAAAACCAGTGAACTTCCCACTCGCTATATGAACTGCTGGCAGATTTTTCCAGTACTGACACCCCGCAGTCAGGGCTTGAACAGCATTGGTGCTTTGTGTACATATCTAGATATGTAAATAGATTCTATACAATAAAACTGTTCCCAAAAAATAAACTGACAAAAAGATTCCAAGACATTTGGTGAATGTCTCTATTGTGCATATTTTCGAGGAGTTCTTGTCCTCCTCTTTTTCTCCGTTAATGTTTTATTCCGTATCTTACAATGCCTCCATCCTTAGGAGAACACATGCCTAAATTAGGTAAGCAGCATCTCCTCTCTGCTCTAGAGAGAGTAATCTACAATCCGATGCCTCGGGAAAACAATATGCTTTCTTTCATTTACAAAAGGGGCCTCCCACACACCATCTCTGCCGCTGCTGCTGCTGTTTCCTCCCTGGGTAACTGAATCAAGCCATCGTTCCAAGCAACCTGGAGTGATATCTGTTTGCCAGGAAATGGCCCCGGCTTCGTCACAACAGCAGGACTAAAAAAAAAAAGACATCCATCTCTGTTTTTCATTAGATTTGAAATGTTTCCACACATTTTCTCATCTCCTTTTTTCTAATAGAAAATGATAGTTTTCCTCCCAGGGAGCACAAAAAAAAACCCTGTGCCGTATTCCACATGTTCCTCGAAACAGCAAGCGCACACATGTTCCCCAAGAAATCCGTGGGCTTGTACGGTATGCCTGTGGGTGAGAGTGTGTATTGTCCAGGTGTGTCTATCTGTGTGTATTTGGGTGTGCTTGAAAGCGGCGCCACGCACGTATGAGGCTATACTCTGGTGGTAGAATGTGAGTGGGGGTGCGGGTGAGGCAGTGTGTTGTTCTGTCCGCTGGGGTAGCTGTTGAAGGGGTGCAGCGAGCTGAGACCAGGCATGCTGTTGGGGATCATGGTGATGGTGTTGGGGGTCATGAGAGGGATGTCGTCAGGCGAGCGACGCATGGCCAGCGTGTAGTCGGGCGGGCAGGCAGTCCTGAGGACCACCTCGTGCGGGTGCATGGCCTCGCGACACTCGCGCTCCAGGTCGCTGTGCTTCATCTGCAGGGACATGATCTCCTCCTCTTGCGTGTGGGGCAGCTCGTTGGCTGTGGTGCGCTGTGGGCTGCAGCGCCGGTGCACCTCATGCCGCCGCTTGTCCTTTTTGTAGTAAAGCGCGGCAAAGGCCAGGATGTTGAGGAACAGCAGCGAGGCGCCCACGGCGATGGTCACACTCAGCTCTGTGGAGTAATCCCGCTGGTCCACCAGGAAGGGCTGGTTTTGGTTCTGGTTCTGGCTGTCCTGCGTTTCAGTAGGGAAGGGCGTGGGGAAGGGACGCTTGGTGTTGGCTGGTATCTTCTTGGGGGCACGTGGTGTGACCTCTGGTGGTGGAACCTTGGTGGTGGTGGAGATGATCTGGGTGACCTCGTTGAGGCTATGCAGATGGGGAACCAACTCCAGCCACAGGTTGACCTTGTTGGCGCGATAGTGCTCTTTCACTCGGGGCTTCAGGCCAATGTGAAGGTACAGCTGGTCTTTCTGGTTGTAGCGCGTCCAGGCCACCTCTTCAAAGCGGTTGGGCTTAGTGTGGATGAACTTGGTGTCCTGTGGCACCGGTTGGTTGGGGTCACTGCAAGGGAAGGGGGACAGATTAGCATCATAGTCCCACTGATGTGCAAGTCAGTACACTGTAAACTACCTTCATCGTGAAAAATGAGTGCATCAATCTTCTCGACATTCCTATGTGAGATTGCAGGTCAATGTTATATATGAAAGTCATTAGTGGTCATACAGTCCTCCTGGGCTTGTGTGGTGTGGCAGAGAAAAGGCCATTCTACTTTATTATTGCCTGAGAAAACAATTACTGACGCAGAGACATGCTTAAAGGCACTGAGGAGAGACTGTTAATATTCTCTCTCAGTGAACATCACAATCTCCTGACAAACTGCCACTGCTTCTTAATTAAGAGGAAAAAGTCAGAGAACCGAAATTACACATTTGCAAGTAGCACAAATTGATTCGTCATCCGAACTTGAGGCGACATCCAAGGTGAGATTTTATGAAATCTACTGCAAAGTCAAATAACCAGTAAATGTATTCCACATCATCACTGTGTCTGTATCTGCAATTACAACATTACACCTAAGACGAACAGGGATACATCACCGGGCAATTAAAAAGTCATAAGCAGCATATATCATAAACCTGAGAATCACTACAAATTGAAGCTTTGTTATGTGCAGTCCTATTGGAAACAGTTCCCTAGCAACAACGTGAAGATTAAGAAGAAGAAGAAGAAGAAAAAAACACATTAATTTAATATCAAACTTAAACAGTTCAGCCAAAAAACTACTGAATTTACATATCGCTGTACACTGAACTTACATATCGCTGCTGTGGGAGGAAAACCTCCATGAAAACCTCCAATCTCCATTTTTGTCATAATTTTTGATATAATTTGAAAGTTGCCCTTTACATTGTATGTAAGTTTCACGAAGAATGGACTAAAAGAAAGGACCTGAAATGACTTGGAAAAAAATCTGGTTCCACTAACTTACATTAAGAGTAAAGTAGGTTTTTTCCTTCTCCTGTAAAGTTACCATTTTGGAGATATGAGGTTTTCTTCCAACAACAGATGGTATAATACCAGACTTCAACAATGAGGCATTTAGACCATAGCTCCCAAAAAAGTTGAGAAAAAGAAATTCTTGGCGGAATGCTCTGCTGACCACTGTGGTACACTGCTGATGGTGGCAGAATTTTATGCCTCCACTGAAAACAATGGAATACCTGATTTGCCATCATCCGTCTACCATTAACATGTAAACTCAGCATAAGGGTTGCTTATCAAGAGCAGAATTTCAGAAATAGGGGAAATGTCTCAAAATGATTTAAAACAGAACTTAACCATGTCTTGGAGAAAAAAGATTAAGAGGAGATCTTACAATATTCTTTTCCTCTGGGAGGCCTATATTGCTGTGACAGGAGAGAGCAGGGGGTGACTGTCAACTAAGCCGTCACCATAAAGTCATACAAATGCAAAAGGCATACAAATTTCAAACCATTAAATCCTCAAAAATGATCAATTATCTTAAGTGTCTTCACATCATGTCTTACAATATAAAACAAGCCACTAAATATTGGTACGTTATTAGTGTGAGAAATCCTTGGGACCTCAATGTCGGTCAATTTAATAGCACAACCAATGTATCGGTCAGACTCAAATAAGTCCTTGTTCTTTATGACTTACCCAGTTTTGGCAAAGTTGGTCCAGTACGTCATCACCACAGCACTGAGCATCACATCGTTCTTGGAGAAGTTGCAGGGGAAGAGCTCAGTGGGTCCGATCATAGGCAGGCCGAAAACATAGGGGATCTCGTCTCCATGTGCCGCATCTGCCCAGGGTGGCACCTGCTCCGTCTGACAGTGGTGGTAAAAGGCGTAGAAATAAGTGGGAGATCCGAAGCTGGAGTGCAGGTCTGCCGTGGCCACTGCAGGCGCAACCCACTGGTGATCAGTAAAAAGAGCAAGCAGTGTCTTCCTCCTGGTCTCCGGATTGTGACGGTCAGCCCAGTCGGTGTACATGAACTTAATAGTCTCCCGCAGGATATCCTTGCCCTCAGGGTAGCCATACAGGTCGTCCACAAAACTCGACACGGCGTAGTCAAAGTCATTAGCCTGAACGCCGTTCTCATTATCCACGATGAGCTCGACAAACTTCAAGCCCTCGCCCTGGTTGACCCCCAGCATGATGTCATAGTTCAGGAACTCCCCTTGCTCCATGAGGATCTGCGGGTCATCAGGGATGACATCGCCATCAATGACAGGACCAAAGGCGATGTGGTAGCGCGCAGGCTGGATGTCTTGCTCCACAAGCTCCTTGTAGTGCTTCTTCTGTAGACACTCCACCAGGTCCACTGTGTCTTTGAAGTTGCAGCCCACCTTTTTGGCCAGCATGCGGGCGTACTTAGCAGGCTGGAAACTGACAGCCCAGCTGGACAGGGCTGTACCACTCTGGGCAATAGCTCTCTGGAAGAGGCCTGTGAAGATAAATAAGATATTGGCAACGATACCCAACCGTGGACATACATAGACATAAATGCTATGAGGAAACTCAATGTTTGAAAAAAAATTGCAAACTGTAAATTTAAAAATCACAAACAGACAAATGCCATGCAAATAAGAATGTAACCACATATGAGCATGGACTATGTACTTAAAAAATTGTCTTTTTTCTTTGGTGCTGTACCAGAGTATGCAAAGAATTGAAGGTATGAGTTGATACTGAGCACCACATCTTTGTTATGACAGCATTAATGAATTATAGCTTTTACTCTCTCAACACAAACAATGAGGCATTAGCTTAATTAGTATCAGAAAAGAATATCAAACTTCATGCAAACAAATCAAGACCAAGAAAGCAAGACAGTGCGTTTGTGTGCACAGCAAAGTAAGACATTATATGTTACTATGACAGTCTCCAGCATACTCTTTCTTTTGGTTGGAATAATATAAAACAGTCTATTTAAAAAGATGTGGTGACATGGAAGATATTAAATGACATACAAATCAGAACAGTTATTCAACCGATTCTCTTGTTTCGATGACAGAAAAAGAAACAAACAAGGGACCTAACTACTTATTTTTTATATTATTATCATTATTATTATTATTACTATTATTAAAATTATTAACATTATTGACATCCTGTTCTCAATTCTGCTCTGATGCTTCTAATTTATCCAAATAGCCTGAATATTATGCATTACTGACATAAGCATTCTTAAGACTCAGTAACACTTTACTGAACGGCAGCATTGATAATGCCACATGACATCTACATAAGCCTTTCATGACAACTGACAAACATCAATACAGGCTTATTCCAACAAGCATCAGTTGTCATAAAGGCTGCTTTTGTCAATTTTGATGTCATTTCACCTTAGTTAATGTGTTACAAACTAGTTGTTGAAATAAGTCTTTACAAATAATGTGTTAAAGCAATGCAAGGCTTATGTAGGTGTTAAGCTTGTCACAACTATTACATAACTACCTGACTGCAATTTGAGATAATCACAATTATTTAAGCTCACCGCAATTATTTAAGCTGACCATAATTACTTTCCATGCCACATCGTATCACATTTGTCAGTTCAGTTGAGACAAAATAAAACTAAGCAGGAAACATATTCACTAAGACACGTTGTGGGTCTGATAGAAACAACACAATTCTTTTTACCAGGTACACATTCACAACTTTTAACTGGATGCCATCAGATGTTTAGGGAAATATTAGGGGTTTTGTTTGTTAGCTAGACAACGCTAACTTTGCATGTATGCTTGCAGAACGGGGTTTTCGCATGCATTTTCACTGCCTCTTACAGTAGAAACGTGTGATTGTGTGTGCAACAGTTCAGTATATCATTTTCATGTCAGGTGTTATACAGCCTTATGAACACTGCCCTTCAGTAAAGTGTTTCCTAAGAGCCTATTTATATGAATGACTTATGTAGGTGTTTTGAACAACTGACAAAGTCATTTATGAAGAATTGTTTTATCATCCTGCTTATAATGATTTACAAGCAGGGAAATAATGAGTTATGACAATTACTGTCCTTATAATAAAAAAAAACTATATATTATTCTTATATAGTTTTATATATTATTATTATATATTAATATTATTCTTATTAGGCAACGAACATTTACTTAGCGGTGAAGTGATAGTATGTAATTCTCAGGTCAGTGAGAAGGGCAACTCAAGGTTTGTTTGAATGATGGTGATAATGTCAAGGGATGCTGATGTGGAAAGACCTTTGCAGTTCCACCTCCCACGCAAAGAGATAAATGGAATTAATTAATTACCCTTTCCATGTCAATGGGTTACTTCTACAGGAAAAATGCTACTCCTGAACTGTGAAAGCATGCGTGTGGAAAGCATGACGATCGGTATGAACTCCACTGAATAAAGATGAGCCGAGAGACCAATTCAAATACATTTTTCATAAGCAACTGGTTTCAGGTCAGACTGATTTAGCCCCTTAAAGTGTGCCAGTGGAGGGGGAAATGATGAATGATCTGTTCTAATGCAGGAGCAATGAGAAGCCTGTGACTTTGCCCGTAACCTTGATGGCTTGACAATTCTGAATCACGCATGCATTACCAGTGCTGTCTGCAATACCAGTGGAAAATGTTGTAGTTATCAAGACCCATAAAGGTAATGGTAGTAGATGGTGAATGAAAGTACAGTTGTAGAAACAGTGACACAGAGTACAACTCGAATGTATGCATTACTATGCAGTACAGGAGAAGAAAGAAAACAAAAGGAGACCATGGATGGGTGTTGCTGCCACACACCGCTGTTAAACACTACAGCGTATTCTGCAACCTAATCCAAACGTGACTACACACAGCAGGGTATTTGGATAAAAGAAAAAGATGAATCAGCCTTTCCCTAGGGACTTCCTTTGTGTAGTTTGGAAGTATGTGGTGAAGTTATCAAGTAAGTTCTGTTAGCACACCTTCAGAGTACAGGAAGGGAGAAAAAAACAAAACTGAAGATTCCATGCAAATATATGTAAGAACAAATGCATCTCAAACACGTAAGAACACACAGTCTTAAAGCAGGCCTTAAATGTGGCAACAAAGTGGCATGCAAACACCAAAAGGGTCAAAAGTTGCAACCTCTGCATTATACCTTTGGTTGAATTGCTCCAGCGGTTACCTTCAGAATAATGGGACAGAGTGAGGAGGTTCACACAAGAGGCCCCGGCCCCAGATCCAAAAACAGTAATGCGTAAAGGGTCACCGCCAAAGAAGCCGATGTTTTCACTAGTCCAGCGCAGCGCTTGGATTAGATCTAGGAGCCCGTAGTTCCCTTTGGCCGCCTGGTCTCCTGTGCTTAAAAAACCTGCAGAAGAGGAAAGAAAAATAGGTTGAGAACACAAGCACTTGACTTTAAGACCCATACAAAGAAAGTGCGGTGCAAAAGATCTGTTCACCAATAACAACAGGGGCAGAGAAGTTGTTCTGGTATTAATCATTCCTCTGTTTTGCTTCAAATTGTTTGGGCACCTGTACAAAAGTGAAACAACGTAACATTCGTTAATTGTAGTGATGACAGTTGGCCACCTCTGGAGGGCTGAAGTAACTGCCTCTTAATGATTGTTTATATCGTTGAGCTCACAAATTTACCTGACCTCCCCTGACAAACAGTGTAGAGCCTAATGACACCATTAACCAGGATAAGAGCCTCATTTGCACAAGACTTTTGGTATTACTGAAAAAATCAGATAAATAATTCAGTATTTTTTCTTTGTTTCATGTATTCTTCCCACCTTCTTAAGGTTTTTAATTGTGTGCTAAACTAGGTTTTTTCTTGATACTCAACTGAATCTGTATAATTGCCACTAAGCAGTGTCACTAAATACAGCATGTAATACTACACTTCTGGCCTGAAATTAGATTGTTTTACACTGAATCCCTGATGACGGACTGTTAAGAAAGTACCCATTGTTCCATTCCATGCCTTTCGTGCCAATTAACAAGACTGCAAATTTGTACTCATATGTTATCGTTTTCAGCGAAAGATTATTCATTCAGCCAACACAGCAATTACAGCACCAGTGGATCTTAATGGCTTCATCCACGCCTTCACTTTTACTCTTTCATACCATTACACAGAACAGTTGCCCAGTTGCACATACAGGCAATACAGAATCTTTTTTTCAGCTATGGATGACAGGAATGTCTCATCCTTTCGCTGACTTAAATTACCTCCACAGTGAAATCACACATGCACCGTCAAGAACAGTAACTCTAATGAGTTGTGCAGGCTAATTGTATGCCTTCAACTGGTTTCACCATGTACTCATTTAAAAGCAATGTAATTGAAACATTACAGTGACTAAACTGGACATACATGTACGCACACACAAACACACCACTTGCTTTTATACAATCCCAGGACATGGGGTCATACATATATCCCATAGGTATTTCTATAGGGGTTTCCTTTAGCCTGTAAATTCTATTATTTGCCCAGCAAAAAGACAGTAAATTAAAATCCTGCCGGACACAATGTCCAGTAAAAATTTAAAATACCTAAAATTCATTCATGATACATTCTCCTGCTGCTTTGCATATGTGGATATAACTGCACTGTAGCCATTCAGCAGAGGTTCAGAGGTTCAGTAACAACAACCCACTCTCCTGGCCTGGCACCGAGGCATTTAACACTAAAGTTCCTGTTTGGTTTATTTTAACTTTGTCACCTCGATATTTACCCCTAATGGCACAACTCCCTGTATAAAAAGAATAGCCTTTTTTCATGAATGCAGAAACATGCTGAAAGAAATAATCTAGTTTTTTAAAATGTGTTTAAATGTAGTCTGATGACAGCCTAGGCTGTTGATAAGGCGCAGTAATCTTGCTTGTACTCCTTCTTTCAAATAGTTAATAGTTATTCTTGTTGTCTATATAAATATGTGTTGTCTACATAAACTTCATTTGATCATTTACAAGTGGCCACGCATGTTTATACTGATTTGACGATTAATAAAGACATTTGCATGTTATCCGTTACAGTAAAATATTTATTGATAAATGTTCTCATAATATATGTATGTAAAGCAGTACTTACATGCAATAATTAGGTAATTACTTAAGCAATACTTGGTGTCAGTGGTGAACTGTGACTATTAGAGCTAGGCCTTTGGGCCTATTTGTGAAAAATCGATTAAAATATGAGGACAAAATCCACTTCAACGATAATGCTAGCGTCCCCATAGAATTATAATAGTTTGTTAGCGCTAACCAAAGAGTGATTCGCATGAAAGTTTCACAGAGACTCTTTTAGTAGTGAACTCTACTATTGATTATTACTACCAAATTGCTCCAGTAAACACATGCATAGGACTGTAAAAGAAAGTGTATTGTTGTATATAGTAATTCATCTGTAACTACCTGTTCTCTTCTCCTTGTGGTGTGCAATGCATAACCATACATAATGTTCTGACCTGTTCTAGATTACTGCAGTATAACAGTATGGATGAATGATCAGAAACAGTGTATTTACTACATATTTACATATTACATACTAGGTACCTACCATACTGTAAAACTACTGTAAGTGCTACAACTTTTTAAAGTTGTTATTTAGTCAGACATTTTGATATATATGTACACGTGTAAATGTACATGTAACTACCTATTTGAAGCAAGATTTTTCTGAACATAATCCTAACTTTGAACCTCAGTAACAAAAAGGAATGTTTTTACTCTTTTAGTTTGCAAAGTCATGGCCATTTTTCAGGTCCTGCAGGCCTCTCCTGTTTTCAGTAGTTTTGTCCCTGAAAAGATTCAAAAACCAACACACACATTTACACACTGTGTACACACAGCCTTTCGGAGCAGTAGCGACCCTCAGTGCAGCACCTTTTTAAATTGAGTTCTCTATTCATTTTAATTAATCTAGTTTTGTTGTTACATCAAAGGGCCGATCTCCTGGAAGCTGCCGCCATCTACAATCATACGTTTAATTGATTCCATTTAGCCAAAGTAGTGTGTAGCACAATCAAAGGGGGCCAGGCACAGGCTTGAAAATGATTAACAATCAGCTGGCAGACAGGCAGGTCATCAGCCGCTGATGCCTGCTGCTTGAAGCTGTGAGCAGATTTGGCCATGCACACAGGCAGGCAGCGACATGCTCTCCACCCTCATACTGACAGAGAAATCCAATCACACAGGAAAAAATGAATACATCTAAAAAAAAAAAAAAAGAATACAATTTGTGTGCATGCCACACGGGCTTGTGAATAAAGAGTGTATGCTGTATACTGGTCAAAAAAACAGATTTGCTCGAGATTCTTTCATTAAAGCAGCACCACATTCGATTTTTTTGTTAGAACTGAAAAAAGCAGAATTACTGAGTCGGAACCCACTAAAGTATGATGTGTGTGCGCTGCCGCGAGTCACCTTGTGAAGCCTGATACAGTAATTTAAAAGTCAGAGGGGTCGAGTCTGATTTCACAGGAGTTTTTTGAACTACATTACATCTTTACTTATTAACCTCACATGTCATAAGAATGTCCGGCTCGATGTTCATGTCTCAAATGCAAAATCGACATTATACTAATAAAGATGTGATGACAATAGAAGATAATTCACTTATGTCCTGAGGAGACACACCTGCAACTTTCAGATTCATCTGCTCAGGGTCTGAAGTACAACAATGTCACCTAATGTTCTTGCAGTATTCGGCATGCAATTACACATTTTCACCAGAGAGGTCTCCAAATCACCAAATGTTAAGTAGTGCAGCTTTAAATATGTACTAAAATGGAAACTAATTTACTGCATTATTTATTTACTATAAACTTAGAATCCTAATGATGTGCTCTACATTAAATAATCTCTTTCCCATGTTGAATAACAGTGACTTAGCACTTTTGTCTATGCAACAGTGGTTGCATTTGTACATTGGCTGTGATACTTATCCAACAACGTAGAAGTAAAGTGTGCTCCAAGATGACTGAATTAGCAAATTAATTGGCAAAAAGGAAAATGGTTCTTTGGAGCTGCAGAAGAGCCACTTTTGGTCCCATAAAGAACCTTTCAATAGAACCTTTCAAAAGAACCATTTTTTTAAGTGAAATGTGTGAGTGTGAGGGACCTTGAAAAAGCTATAATATAAAGGTTGTATACCATTTAATGGTTTGCTCTAGAACCATAAATCAATAACCAAAAGCCAATAACCATTAAGGAAATTTTTAAGTATCACTAAAAAATGTATTGCATGGTCTAATTTATAAACCCAGTTTAAAAATATAATGTGGAATTAAAACTACTGATCTCAAAGAACTCAACAAAAGTGAAATTCACAGTCTTGCCCAAGGCTGATTAAGCCCACCATTTCAAATAGGTACTACTATTCAAGATAGAGCACAGAGAGGGTTCACAGTCGGCTCAGTGTGAGAGAATGGGGTTGGTGATGAATGGCTAGAATGATCAATGGCATTTTAAGAGTGATTTTACAGCTGTACCCAATAAAACAGAATGTTCTGAAATTTTGTCAGGGTATTGTTGGTATGGCATGCTGTGCAGTTAGCATGCATGTGTGCATATTTCAGACTCATTTCTCTGAGAATGAGAATCCCAAACTAGTGCAAACTTCTTTGTTTTTCTATATCCCTTTCTCAGTAATGGCTTCCTGACAGTTACACTTCCGTTCAGATCCATATCACTGAGTTGTCCTCTAACAGTGGAAGAGTCTTGCGTGGTTGTTAGGAGTCTAACATCATCAAGAAAATTTCAAGGTAGCTAAGGTGTGTTGGTGTAGCTGCTTGTGTGAATGTTAGTGTCTCTTTGAAGGGGATAAATGTCAGTAACAGCTTTAGGAACATGTTTTGTTGGGAAGACACAGTCATAACACTTTGATTTTAAGACTGGAAGGATGGAGGAGTTAAAAGTGGCAGTAGCATCCGCAAAAGTCAAGATTTCTATTTAATGGCCATTTGGAAATTGAGTAAACAAATGGGTTGTCTCTGGCTTTGGCAAAGTACTGTATATGAAAAATGTAAATTTTAATAAATCCCCAATTAACACAATAAAAATATATTCTTCTGTAAAGGAGGATAATAGGAAATGAGCAAGTCAATGTAGAGCACTGAAATTTCACCCAAAAACAAAATTTGAAAATGGCTTTTAATGCATTTCACACACACACACACACACACACACACAAACACACACACACACACACACACATATATATATATATGTGTGTGTATCAGACTTTGATTTTTAAATCATGTATTGCGTTCAGTAAAGTAATCCTGACATCCCTTAAACATACTAATTTATGAAAAAATCATCCATTTTTGTATTTTCCAGCCACTCATTTCATACTGA